AGCCTGGACGATATAAAATTGATCTGTCAAAGTTCATCTTCCCTAAAAAATCTGCTACCGACAGCCACGGCATCCTGAATGCTTGTGACCAGCAGCTTTCATTTTAGGACAGCTGTGTACTTCGGTTCCCTGTAAAAGAGAGGTATGATTGTCAAGAATTAATTGTTTCCAAATGTCAGTATACCAGTTGTACTTGAAAAACTTAAGTTTATTAATGGTATGTGAAACAATACTCCTTGAGAAGGCTGGAGCTGACCTGCTGCCTGGTATGCCCTTCTATTACACTTTTATTTTTTTTGCAGTTTTTGCCTGGAGCTGGGTTTGAACCTGCCACCTCTGACATATGGGACTGGCGCTCTACCCTTTGGGGCCACAGGCGCCACCCCCTTCTATTATACTTTTAAGAAGTTAAAAAGTGCTAGATTTCTACTTTTGGCTAATCTTGCCCTCCTTTCCAGCTCTCACATACCCATAATTCGCCACGAATACCTGTGCCCTATTAGCCATAATGATGCACAATAATATCTGTGATTTGCTGGAAGGAGGAAGAAGCCTTACTAAAAGTTCAGGCACCTTTCATACATCTCACGGATGTTTCTCTCCACTTTACCTCTTAAAGGAGAAACGAGTTTTCTTCTTTTTCTTTGCTAACAAAATATATACTATTTTCCCAGGTAAATGTCCCTTCATTCATACAGATAAGTGTGTGTAAAAGGCTTTATCACTCAGGACTCCTTGAAGGGATCATGTGTCTCTTAATTTTCACAACCCAGTGCCAACACATAGCAGATGATCAATGTTTGCTGAGTAAACAAATGAAAGAATAGGCTAAATTTTTGAACTGAAGACTATCTTTGTAAATATTTAGTGATGATATATCCACACTATACTGTTATGGCGTGAAGGTTCATGTCTCCTTCCAAATTCATAAGCTGGGGTCCTTGCTCCCAGTGTGGCTGTATTGAAAGGTGGGACCCCTCAGGAAATAAAGTTAAATGAGGTCATGAGGCTGGGGCCCTGTTCTGATAGGACTTTCTCCTTATAAGAGACACCAGAATGTTCACCCAAAGCTCTAGCTTACAAAGAACAGATCCTTTGAATACATAGAGAGATGGTGGCTGCCTACAAGCTGAGATTAGAAGCTTGTATATTATATACACATTCTGTGTATTCAGAAGGAAACCTACCTTGCCAGAACTTTGATCTTGGACTTGCCAGGCTCCAGAACTATGAGGAAATATATTTCTGTTTGTTGTTTAATCCATCCAGTGTGCAGCATTTTGTTACAGCAGCACCAGAAGACTAATAAACACCCCCCACCCCTTTAATAGATTTAGTTTCATACAGTCTCATTTACCAAAAACATCCTCAGAAGGGATTTTTAAAATGTCTAATACAGGTTTTCTTCCCTTTAACTCTCAAGAAAATTTTTTCTTCTTTAACCTTTTCTAGATAACAAAATGTATAGTATCATGAACAAAAGAGCCTTTTTGTGAAATCTTTATTACAATCTACAATACAAATTCAAGATAGGTCTTATCTTGAACACGTGACACAAAACCCACAATTTATAGTGGCTTAACAAGTGGTTAATGTATTTGTGATTCTCTTTCCCTTCCCTTGTGCTCCTCACAACGCAAGTGTGCAGACGGCTACAGTAGCACCTCTGAACATCCAGGATCAAAACCAGAGGAAGCGGGGAGAGTGTTTATACCTAATATTCTTGCCTTTTCATAGGAAAAGATTTCCCAGAAGCTACAGACAGACTTCCACTATCTCACTGGTCATAATCAGGCCCGAACTTAGCTGCAAGTATTTAGTTTTGATAATTGCTATCTTAGAGGTGGCCAAGCAGAACAGGAATGCAAGTATCTCTTGGGTAAGCCAGTGAGCACGGTCTCTATCCACAGAACTAGAGGCGTGGCCTGGCAGATCAGGCTAACTCTAGAGAAAGTTCTTCGGAAGTCTAGGCTTAATAATTCAAAGGGATTTATATTTTCACACAGTAGCGAAAGACATTAGCTACTATTTGATTGATATTAATACCCTTTTGGTTGTAATTAGCTAGGCTTCAAATATTATATTAGTGTATTTAAGATTTACACGTGTTCTCACCCTATTACAATAAAGTGCTACCCTTCATTTATTGAGTATGCATTGGCTGCTTTGTTTTTTGTTGTTCGGTTAGAGTGGAGATAATGACACTGATCTACTTTTCTGTAGAACATAAACGTGAGATAGTGGCAGTGAGGTTCTAATATGAGGCCGTGATTGAAAAATGCTATTTTGACTTTATTCTGTGCTACTGCCAAAAATCTATCTCTAGCGTACCCCTGGCTAGAATGCATACTTGCATTCCATATTCACTAGTCTTACTTCAAGCCATCTGTACAAGAGAATAATCATCTGGTTTTTTTGTGATCACTGGTATCACTTACTGATGGGGGTAACTTTGTTAGATCAAGCATTGGCTATGGCAGGTTCTTGCCTAAATGTATCTAAAATGCCATTCCAGTCTGAGACTTTAGCAGAACAAGTATGTTCAACAGAATCCCTTAATAGGGTAAAAAAGGTCGAGAGGTAAGATTAAAAAATACCGTAATTATTACATTCTATATAATACTATAACATACTATGTATTAATGGTAACTACAAGGGAACTACATTTGGTCTAGAGCTGCCTAAGAAACTCAAACAAGAATAATAATAGAGTCTTTAAGATGAAAACAAATCAACAGCTTAGGAGAAGCACAGGTTTTACTGCTACTGAGACCTACGAGAATTTCTTCCTGTGAGTCTTCATAAAAGTGCACTGTGAATTGCAGTAGCCATCAGCCTTAAAAACACACATGTATTGAAAATGTATGTTTTGATGACTGTTTTGCTATTAGAAGCCAACAGCATAGCAGCAAAATACACCACAGTAAAGGCAATTCTAAGAAGAGCCAAAATGTGGATCAAATTTGCAGCTCTCACAAGATAAACTAGAGCAGGGTAAAATTTAGATTCCTCTCTACTAGTTGGGAATACCAAGTTATCTTAACATAATCCCCCAACTCCTCTATCCCTGTGAATAATAAACTCCATTTCAAAACTAGATGATATTTTAAGACCTAAGGCCACTTTTCCTTTCTAACATTACGTAGTTGAACTACACTACATAGAAGATTTATCTGCGAAACAAGGCTTTTTAAAAAATGTGTTTTAAATGGCTAATCTCCGTACTGACAGATAAAACAATTTTAAAATGCTAAGTTTTATATTTGTACTATGTAAATGTGAACTTAATTTTTAAGAGGCTAAGGTAAAAGATTATCCACAAAAATGTTTTCTGTTTCAGTTACATTCAATTTATTATTATCATCAATATTGGTTACATTTGAAGTGCATTACACCTATTTACAAAAACGTTTAAAAAATGATCAGCAATATAAAGTGTAAACTTAAAAAAATCCATAGACTCATTCCACTTAAAAAAAAAAAATCACAGACTCATTCCATGTCTGTGAAATGTAGCACATAAATATAATTCAATTTATAGTAACTGTAGGGGGTAGGGAGAAGAACAGAAAGTGGAGAGGGAAGATCATATTTAACATCTGAACACAGCTACTGTTGTACTGAAAAAATAACTTATTTAAAGTGAATATAATACTGGGAGTAAAATGCATTATAAAGTAAATTCCAAATATAAATAATAGTGGTTTACCTAACTTTTTCACCCATTCATAATTTTAAATACAATCTCTGGAAAGCCAGACTACAAAAATGTGTGTTTCACTTTAAACAGGCAGCACTATAATATCTAGAATTTGGCAAAAATCATCTTGTGTAATTAGACTCAAAACAGCACTGATTAATTTAAATGATTGTTCTTTTTAAGCTTTTTTAAAAATCTAAAAAGATAATTTAAAAATGAATAAGCAGACTAATTTGTTATATAGATTTCTGTCTCTAACAATAGTAAACATATTTATGATGCACTTTGTGGAGAATGTTCTAAGTCAGAGCATACTTGTGCATTTTGACAAAGACTTAAAATTTTGTACTTTCGTAAAATATAGTCTCCTTTGTAGATCAAAGGGTAACAACAGCCATTTGATGTGTTTATCTGTGTCAGAATTTCACATAGCCATATTCTAATATGTACATCAAGATACTGATAAACTTCTAAATAGTAAAGAAAAAAAGACTGGAAGATTGTTATTCTATTTTGCCAGTAAATTTCCCTCAGTTTTTAGAAAGCACATGCAGTACAATGTACCAACCAGGATTTCAAAATGATAGCATGTTACAATGCATCTGAACAGCAATATGCAAACAGTAGAAATAGAAAATAAATGAGCAACTTCACACTATAAAAATGAAACAAGGCACTTTCAATAACTGTACACAAAGCTGAAATGAACATAAACATTTATCTCCTAGACTCCAGGACACTTCTGTAAAAAGTGAAATAGTAAAGACACTACATAATTCTTTCTCCTAACTCTACTTACAAAAGAAATTCACCAATTAAACTTGGCACAAAAGAGTTTAATTATCATAAAGTGCATCACTTGGCTAAATATAAAGAAAATCGGCTATAATACAGTATAACAACAATTTCACATACAGAGAAATAAAAATGCAATGCCAGGAGCCAAGTCAGTTAGAAACTTTGCAGTATATATGGCTTTTGATTTTGTTTTCTTTTTAATATAACTCTCTATCTGCTTAGAATCTGTATTTTCGAAGGAATATGCCTTGATTAGCTAAAAGAGGTAGTGTTCTGACAGAGGCTAACTCACTGAATCTACAGTATATATTTAAGATAAAGATTATATGGAAAATAAACAAGTATAACATGTTAATAATCTGTGACACTTAATAGTATCCTGATATTAACAAATCAGCTTTTAAAATCAAGGCTATTTTATCATTTTAGCTATGTGATGACAGCTCTTTCAAATACTTTTCCTTTGGTCTTAGACAGTCACCTTTTAAAAAATGGAATTGCCTTCAAATAAGCCATTTTTATTTAGTGATGGTGAACATATCAACATCTAAAACTCAGTTCGTGTTTCCCTTTACTATGATGTTCACTGATTTAAACCATTAATGAAATCACAACACATCAGAGATACAAAGAAGTCTACATCACCTGGGTAGTAACATGCAATTAATTTCCATTTGATTAATATAATTGAGGATTTAAAACACTCATACATTAATTTTGAGCAACTTATAAGTAAAACATCATAATAATTTATACACAGTACTTAAGTGTGGACTTTGACAACAGAATTCTAACAAGATTATTTTCAGTGTATTCAATACAATGTTGGAAAAATACAAATAAAAGCAGCAGTGAATATATTTCTTATCCCAATAACTTAAAAGACTTTATGTAAACTTTATACATGTGCACTCTTGCTCTGGTCTGTAAATTTTTTACAGTCCTTTTTTTTCTTTTTAAATAGTATTTACTATTCTATTCTAAATCTGCTGAACCATCAAAATGGAAGGACCTGCTCATGATATATTAATCTTCTTCAGCATCATATGCCACTTCTGCTACTTCTATTTCTGATATGACATTTTCAGGTTCACTACTTGAGCACGGTTTATTATCAGCTCTGCAAAAAAAAAAGAGAAACATACAAATGAAGGGACTGGATGGATTTCACTTTACCTTTAAAAACTGTTTACACTGGAAAGAAATTTTAAATACTTACTATAAAAGTACTTACTATAAATGAATATTTAAATATTCAATCAGAAATATAATACTTATAAATAAGTTATTATTGCCAGGCAACACCTTTGGGGATATTTTTTAACTCTTTCAGCTTTCCAAAGTATCATTTACCAATAAAAAGCTTGTTTCTAATTTACCAACATAAAATTTGTTCTCATGATTATAGCTCAACTATTGCCATGAAACTATAAACAATTACATTGGATTTGTATGCAATAAAAATGCTCTGTGCTTTAAAATATGTTACCTTTTCATCATTCCTATGAGGTAGGCAGGATGGTTGCTATTACTGCATCATACTTGAATTAACCGAGTCAGAGCCCAGTTAATTCAGCCACAGTTTCATAGTAAGCAACGAGAAAACTTACACCTAATACCGAAGACACATTTTTAGGGAGCGCCTATAAATACCTATAGTCCTTCTCTGTTAGCTCAGCAGATTCATCAAATAACAGACTTCATAAGAAAAACCTCTATAGAGTCTGAAGAACACTTTTCCCAATTATTCAAAGGATCAGCCTGTAATAAACTAAATATTATATACCTAGATTCTTCATCCAGGACATCTTGATCAACCTCGAGTGCAGAGGACTCCACCTTTAGGATCTGTCCTCTTTCTGCTCCTGACACATACAGTGACTCTTCAGGTTCTAAAGACAAAGTTCTAAAAGTATGTTATAATAACACATTAATTTCTATGAATAAAACAGGTAGATGTTTATTATTGTGAATACATGTAGCTTTAGGAGTCTTCAGTTGTTAAATCTTAAGTAGTCACATGGCTAATGAATAGCTTACTTGGGAGTCAACAGAAAAATCAGTAGGAATTATGATTTTTAGCATCAACTCAGTATGTGCTAATAAGAAGGCAAACTAGAGTTTTTCTTTTCTTTCTTTTTTTTTTTTTTGTGGGTTTTGGCCAGGGCTGGGTTTGAACCCACCACCTCTGGCATATGGGGCTGGTGCCCTACTCCTTTGAGTCACAGGCACTGCCCAAACTAGAGCTTTTCTATGTGAATAGGAGGCATACATGCCTACAGACTAAGATATCAATTAAGTAGAATAGTGAGATTCTATTGAATGCTGGTTGTTTATTGAATAATAATTTAACAATGATCACAATGAATGTTTATCTTGTCGAACAGCTAGAGGCTTATGTTTCCTATTCTTCCTTATGTTTCCCATCCTCCAAACGTTCAGTTTCCCCATAACCATAACACAATCTTCCCAATCTGCTAGGAAGTATCAGAGAGTTTATAACTTTCAGAATCAGAAATTTCTAATTTATATGAAAATATAAAGAACATTTAGCCCAGAGTATTAAGAGTTTAATTAGACTAAAAATGAGCATCATAACACACACCTGAGTCTGTTCTCTAACGTGTCTATATGAAGTTCCTTCTCACTGAGCTGTTTCTTTAGCGATTCTACTTCCTTTTGTTTTTCCAGGAGTTCTTTCTGTAAGCGGTAGTTAGTCTCTTCTAAAGTTTCACAGAAAGCCTAAAAATATAGACCAAACACATGCAGAAAAAGTATGAATTATTACCCATGCAGTATCTTTCTAAAGAGCATTACTGGTGAGTCAAGGAACACAGATAATCAAAATAATACATATCCAACCCCCAGGATTTGTTCTCTACTGTTACCATTTTAGGCCACACTATCTTGGCTTTCTTAGTCCCCATCCACCAGGGTGACTTAAAATGAGTCCTTTTTAAGAATTATTACAGTAATAAGCTAGTATGCTTGAAGAGAGTATGTAATATCCCTGTAGCATAGAATTAGGACAAGAATAACCAGTACCTTCTCTTTGGTTTCTGTTCTCCGCAGTCTATTTTTGCCTACTCCTACTCCTACAGGATTACGCTTGCACACTGTGGCCCTGATTCCATTAGCCTTAGCTCAGTAGACACGCTACTGTAACAGCGGCTTCCTTGTTAGCACCTGCAACACTGCTTGGCCCTGGCCTCTCCTTTCACCTTATTCACTCAACAGTGACATTCTATCTTTATACCTAAAAAGCCAAACACAGCTGAAATAAAGATTAGAACAATAAACAAAATCATACTATAACCATGAATGATGCCGTGAAAATATTTTGGTCACCTTGATCAAAACAGCTTTCTGTGCTGCTGATCAATTTTCAAAAACTGTTTTTAGTTATGATCCAGTGATAGTTACCCACCACTCCTTGTGTCCTCTGTGACTATTTTAAACCCTTACCTGCACACCCTTCAAATATGCTACACTATGTTACTATTGCTGTTTCCAAGCCCACCAGATCATCTTGAATCCTATACCAAGGGGGGGAAAACCCTGACTCTTCAGAATCCTAACTATATTTCCCTTCTATTCTTGTCTCTAAGAACATGTGACTCTTCCAGTTTAGATCTATCTCTTTGGAAGTTTGCTCTATCCCTTTTACTCCATCTCAAATTTTCAACCTTTCTGACCTCTTCTGGTCCCTATACTGAATAAACTTACTTTAAGTTTATAAGAGAAATCCTAAAAATATTTCTATATAAGAATAAAATCCTTCTATCACAGGTCTCTCTAGTTGCTAACTCATTTTCTTCCTTACTCATAAACTCCATGAAAAAGTTTGTCATCCAAATTTGGCCAACATGATGCCATTGACTTCCAATTGTTTTTGTTAACCTCCAGCCCAGACCTTTCCTGATTACATAGGCATTATTCAAATACTTACTGCTCCTCTTCAATGGGCTATACCAATAGCATGTCAAATAAAAAATGTCCTCAAGGGAACATCTGCTGGGCTAATCCTCGAGCTCCCAGGCCAGCCTGTTAGATCGTTCCATTTCCCTATTTTCTATGGCTCAAGGCAATCCAGGGTTTTTTGCTTTCTCATACCTCATCATCGATTCTTGTGCTTGTCAGTTACTTTCTATCCCTATTTCTACCGCCATAAGTTCTTAACTAAATTACAACATCGGTAAACCAACTGGTTTACCTATGTTCACTTTGGTACTCTTCCAATACAAACTGTTTTGAAAACCAGACCTGATTATGTTACCTGTGATTCAACACTGCCTAAAGGACAAGGCCGAGTAGCTCACCTGGGCACATGAGGTGCATTATGCACACACTTTTCACTCCAGATTCACAGCTTGCTCCACTGCCTGTGCCTTCACACACTCCATGTTCCAACCAAACTACTTTCAGTTTCTCACCTGTCTTTGTAAAGATGGGATCTATATGGTATGTCTCATTCTGTGCCTTGCTACCTAACCACACATAATGACAAGACACACATTCCTACATTTAAAAGTCTGGATATATTCACATAGAGAAAAACAAAATAAATTGACAATGAATAAATTCCATTAATAATACTATGGTGGAGTAAACTAAAGCCTCTAACTATAAAATACCTTGTTAAAATCCCCACTTTTAAAACAGCTGTGTGAATAAGAAACAAATGTAAATCTCAGGGGTCAAAAGTGAAGAGAAATTAAAACAAGCACCATGAGCATGCACACTGACTCCAGAGTCGCAGGGAGCGGAAGAGAAGCTTGACTCTTGGGTTGGAATACCATGAGCCAGGTAAATTTGGGGCTATTAACAAAATAAATGATATACTGAGGCTAAAGCAAGGGCTGGAAAGAGCTAAACCAATAACAAAAGTACACAGATATAAATCAGGAAAGACTGCTTCAATCTGGATTCCAGGTGTGAGAGGTAAAGTGTCTCCTGAAGAATCTAAGCCATGAGCCAAGACATCATGTGAATTTTAGGGAGAATAATAGAGTCGAAGGCAGGCAAAAATAAACACATACCTAGATACATGATAGTGAAAACGCAAATGTCAAAAGCAAAAAGAAAATGCCTATATTTATTTATTTATTTCAGACAGAATCTTGCTCTTTCTAGCTATGATCATAGCTCACTGCTCATGGGTTCAAGTGATTCTCCTGCCTCAGCCTCCCAAGTAGCTGGGACTAAAGGCACACACCACCACAAGTGGATAATTTTTCTATTTTCTGTGATGGGGTCTCATCTCTTGCTCAGGCTGGTCTCAAACTCCTGGCTGCAATCCTCCTGCCTCAGCCTCTCAGAGTGCTAGGATTATAGGCATGAGCCACTGTGCGGGGCCTCAAATAGAAAAAATCTAACACACTAGGAAGAAAAAACAATTTACTATAAAAAGACAGAAATGCACTGAGAGTAGATGTCACACATCAGTACATGTCAAAGGCAGCGCTAAATGCATCAAAGCACTGAGAAAAATAACTATCAAGGTAGAATTCTAAACTCACATTAAATCGCACTTCAAGAATGACAGCAAGATTAAAAGAAATTCAAACACTGAAGACCTAAACATTACCAACACCTTAACTGAAAGGACTAGTAAAGTAGTACTTTTAAGGTTATATTAACCAGTTTGATGTAAGCATTCTAAATTGCATATAAAATCAGCACATTGTACTCCATGAATGCACTAATGTACACAGTTATGATTTAATAAAAAAATTTTTTTTAAAAATAAGTTAGCTGAATCCCAAAGGAAAGAAGGAATGGTGAAGAATGAAAGTGGCAAATGGGTAAATCAAAAGAAGCTTGACTGGGCGGCTCCTATGGCTCAAGGAGTAGGGCGCCAGCCCCATATACCGGAGGTGGTGGGTTCAAGCCCAACCCCAGCCAAAACTGCAAAAAAAATAAAAACAAAACAGAAAAACCGAAGCTTGACTACATGAAACATCACAATGGCCATCTCTGGAGAGGGCTATAGACAAGTTGATTGAACAAAAGACAGTGACTACAGAACTTAGAAACTTAGCAGAGAAAAAAGGAAAGAAAGAAAATGCACTAAATAAAATGAAAGGGAAAAGAGAAGAAATGAAGAAAGCAGCATTTAAAAAAGCAAAGTAAATAAAAAACACAAAGTAAAGTGGTAGAAATAAATACAAATATATTGGTTCTACCTACCTACCTACCTACCTACCTATCTCAGAGTAAGTAACCTTACCAGGTTACAAACACAGATGAGAAACATACCTATCAGGAAACAGGCAAACGTTTGCTCCTCTTTCCTCACCAACAGTTATAGTTTTTGTACAGAGTTGGCAGAATGCAATTCAAGGTGAAAAACATTGTAAGTCACAAAGAGTCACTACATAATAGTAAAAGAGGGTGGCGCCTGTGGCTCAGTGGGTCGGACACCGGCACCATATACCCAGGGTGGTGGGTTCGAACCCAGCCCCAGCCAAACTGCAACAAAAAAATAGCTCGGCATTCTGGCGGGTGCCTGTAGTCCCAGCTACTCAGGAGGCTGAGGCAAGAGAATTGCTTAAGCCCAGGAGTTGGAGGCTGCTGTGAGCTGTGATGCCACAGCATTCTACTGAGGGTGATAGAGTGAGACTCTGTCTCTAAAAAAAAAAAAAAAAGAAAAGAAAAAAAAATAGTAAAAGGAATAACTTACCAGGAATCTTTCAACTACATAATTACAAGGGGAAATTTAGCAAATCCAAAGCATAAAGGGTAAATACAATATAGTACTGTTGGTAATTAATGGATTAAACAGAAAAAAAATCAGTTAAGATTTAAAAGATTTTAACAATAGAATTAATGAACTTAATCAGTGTCACAGAAAACAATCTCTGAAAAAAACTGCAAATAGAAAAAAAGGTTAATATAAAAAAATGCTTAAAAATGTAAGAGCATTCTAAATGTATGTAGCAAAGAAGATACTATAAAGAACATTACAAAATATAAATGATAATGATAACACTATTAAAATCTGTAACATGAAATTTAAGCAGAATTCAAAGAAAGGTACTGGAAACAAATGTAAAAGGATCCAACTCAAGAAGTCAAAAAGAATAGACTAAAACCAAGTATAAGAAAAAAATAAAGACAAAAGAACTTACAATCAAAAGAGCAAAAAATAGTTTTTTGAAAAAAGTATTAAAATACACTTACTCCAAGAAAAGAACAGTAAAAACAATGGTGAGGTTAAAAGTAGATTTATAATTAAAGCTATGTTGAGAGATTTTTAAAAAATCATATGAGACAACTAAGAACAGTCTTACCGATGCATTTTAAAACCTATGCAAGGTCGTCAATTTCTAGAAAAATACAAATTATCAGAATTGATCCTTCTCTAATAAATAATTTGAATAAAGTAATTAAAGGAATAGAATAAGTCATGAAAAATTTACTTGTAAACTAAACACATTAACTAAAGAAAATACCATATCCAAATTGTTTTACAGGGAAGTTCCAATAAATGTTAAAGGAACAAACAATACTTGTCTTATTCAAATGGTTCTGGACAACAGAAAAAGACAATTCCTCAATTTATAAATTGATCTGAACTTGATGCAAGTCCAACAAGGGCACTAAAAACAGTAAAATATTATAGATGAAAAAATTCTAAATAAAATCATTATAATCTAAATCCAGCAATTAAAACAAAAACATACTGAATATGTGTTATAAATCAGTGTTATCATTTGAAAACCTATGAATGTAATTTGCCA